AATTCTGTAATAAAGGTGTTGGTTGATCACACTGCAGCCGATATATGATGCGATAAACAGCTTTACCCTGTCAGCAGCGAAATAGACTTGGACGTAATCGACTACGGAAGGCTATGCATGTGGTTTGTCAGTCGAATAGCTCGATCGATGCTGTCTCCACTCGCGAATCAAGTTGCATCTTGGAGAGAAGCAACTGCTTGAAACGCTGGCGTAAAGAAGCACCAGTAGGTTTGCTAGTTTGGCCGTAATATACATGATAAATCTGTATATGTATATAATATATATATATTTGCGTGTCACTGTATATGTATCTGAGGCGTCTGCGTGCCGCTGAGTCCCAATACAGCTTTTGATGCATTTCGAGACCGCCAAGCTGTCTCAGTAAAAAATATTTCTAACTGCTGTAACTGTTATAAAGAAGATCTCCCACATTGTGAGCATATAATAATGCCGTGTCTTTGTTACGTGTCTGCCGTTCACGGAAGTACTATGCTACATCAGTATTGTTGCGACGGCTGTTGCCGTTGTTAGAGAGCATTTAAGATCGCACTGCCTGTGTAAAGTGCATATGTTTGGATCGGTGATATCTGAGCTGAATTTCCGTTGCAGCAATTTCCTGCTGTTCAAAACGCGTACCAGTTCACGTCAAATTCGTCAAACCGTTTTCGTTTACGTCAAATATTGTAATTAGCACTGGTAGAGTTGGTTAAAAGAAGACCGTTAAAAGAATGCCTCTTACGTCAGTGCTACATACAAACGCATGATGCATTTGATGCGGCGTAGGTTGAGCGAACATAAGTCGCCAGGAAGCCTGTTGGGAAATTGTCTTTATTTGTACCGATGCTGTTTGTGTACAAACAGTCGCATTAGGAGTCGCATAGAAGGGTACTGTGCATTTAACTCATCTTTCGGACAATCAGATACTAATAACCAAAGCTACTTCGATGTTGAATAGTATAAACTCTTGCGTTGGAGATGTTAAGTGGTGTCTCAATTAGTGCCTTTTTGGTCGAGAACGAAGATCAGGTGTTCCTAGTCAATCGCCGTTCCACGAACGGCTAAATAAGCCAAAGAGAGAAGGAACTGTAAGCGGCCAGTGCATTATTTGTATATGCATACACAAACCTACACACACACACATCTACAAAGCCAGATCATTGCAGGGTGCAGGTGCGCACCGCTTGAATCTCAGTAGTTGAGAGAGGGCGGGCGAGTCCGTGCGCAAGACGACGCATTTTCTCTCCGTCATTTGCTCTCAACTTCATGCAACTGTTGGCATGCCTCATTCCCCTTTAAGTTGACTTTGGTTATTTGTGTTCTTGTCAACGCCGAAGGCAGCAACCACACCTCCGACCTAATCATTCTTATAGTTAAAAGTCACAAATTCAAATTTAGTTTTCTCGAATACTGGGCTATCCATGTGCTTTGTAAACATCAGATTACTCATAATCACCAAGCTGCTAAAGTTTAGTGATCGATACATAGAACTAACTCCGTGCGTTTTAGCTGCGTAAGGTTTAGTTCCGTTCGATTCCAGTTCTACTTATGCCTCTACAACAGCAATATTCCTCAATTGAACTGGAACGGGAGAGAACTCAGTGCCGGATGATGGCACAAACTGACCTAGCCAGTAAGGGTAAATCCATGCGAAATGTGCGTCGTGAAGTGGATAAATTGGCGGAAACTTGTCAACAGTTTTATAGAAACGTTACTTTAAAAGTGGTTCAGCTCAGTGAGTGTATTGTTGATGCGCTTTTGAGTCGAGCGCATGAGCACGGGCAGGCTTTGAACTCCGCGTGCGATCCGATGAACAAACCGTACGTCGATAAACTCATTAGCTCGTTAAGACTCCTTGCTGTGCTTAAGCTGCGATGTCGCGCCGAAAATAAGGAAAATAAGGTCCTGGCAATAGCTTGTGATGATCCGTCGGATTTGTCTGCTCAACATCAGCTAATAACAAATGGTGAAAGCGCCAGGTCCATCTCAGAAGTCTCCACTGAAGAGGTAGTATATATTTAATGGCTGAAGTGGTGCGTTAGTTACTCAATTTTTACGATAACATAGGAAACGTACGTATTTAATAAATATTGAGTCTGCGCATCTTGCGGTCAGTATCATGTGAGTTTTTTTGTAATTTGTAGCGTTATTCGTAGCCGTTATTTGATGAGCGCGATTTATTGGACTTCTGCCCGTTGCTAATGGTGGTCGATATTTTCATGATGACCATAAGCACGATGACGATAAATGGTACAGTGTAATATGTCGAAGACGGTAGTAGCAGTTATTTTGCCGTTGGTGCTTCTGCTTGCGAGGCAGGCGGTGCTGCCAGTGATGCTGCTGCTGCTGCTGAGTTTGGCGGTTCCTCATGCAAAAATGGCGCAGCGCTCGTACCACAGGCCGTCCCCGCGTGCGCAAGTTACCTTTCGCTATCTTGTCTTTTCATAGCGTTGCTTCACTGCCGTCGTCGGGCTCGTATGTATACAATGGCATAGGCTGTCGATGTCGGTCGGTCGCCTCTATGTCGGTCGCGTCCCTGTCCCAGCAGCAACGGCGGCAGCGGCAGCTTGCCAGCAAAGCGTGGTCGCTCTGTGAGCCTGGCTGATGGCTGGATCGCCCGCTCCCCTGTTCGTTCGTTTTGCTTCTGCGAGATGGCTGGTGAGGCCAGGTGTGCGACTCGAGCTGTATTCGTCGTGCTGATGGTGTTGGCGGCGATGGTAGCGTCAGCCGCTTGCTCGGGAAGGCTGTCGGTCCCACCGCACGTTGGCCGTGTTAGGGAACTCGGTGACGCTTGGCCACTCTCTCCGGTTGAGTCGGTCGCTTCGGCGCTTGCTGCTGCATTGAGATCTGAACGCGGCATCTCGGCGCGCGGCCCCCGGCGCTCCTTCCCACCATCTGTTCTATGCGTCTGCCTGTCTATTTCTTTGTGCCACTACTGCTTCGCAGCCGCCACTGAGAGACAGCGAAAGGAGAGCGAGCGACAGACAGAAGAGTTCGGCAGGACCGAGTGACGCGTTCGAGCGCGGGAGCTTCGAGAGTGAGCGAACTGCAGCCGCAGAAGCGCTCTACGGATCGTGTGGGCTCCGAGCTCATGGCTAGGGGAAGACTTAACCGTGCCGGTCGGTCTCCCTGCCTGGCGCAGCCGGTAAAGCTGCCGTGCTAAGAAAGCAACTGGCCCTAGCGAGGCTCGTTGCCTGCCTGGCTGTCTCTGTTGGCCTATGGATATGTGTGAGAGAGAGATACGGCGGACAGACCGGGCGTTAGGGTCTCCCGGAGCGCGGTGCTTTTGAGTCGTACGGCTGCTGAGCATTGAGAGACGGGGAAGAGCTCTAGCTACATAGCTTTAGCCTGCCAGCCAGCCAGCCAAGCAGGCAGCTTAGCTATGAAGAGTGAGCGAGCTTTGGATCGAGTCGGAGAAGCACTGAGAACTGAACACGGTCCGCTCCCTACCTCCGTTCCTCCCTCCGGCCTCGACTCCGAGAGTCCGTGTGTTATTCTTCTTGTGGCTCATGTCTGTACTGCTGTACGCCCGCGGTCGCCAGTGACAGCGAGCGTCGCTCGCAAAGGACGACTAGAGGAGTCGGCGGTAGCGATACGCGGACAAGAGAATTGAGCGAATTCGAGACCGAGACACCAAGAGAAGGGGAGGAAGAGATGCGAATTTTGTTGAGGGGAGCCCCGGATGAGTGGCGGATGCGTCATTTCAGTCTCGGGCTCACGGTTTGCTCGGAGTGCATCTGGCCGTTGTGCTGCTATTCGCGCTACTGCTACGACTCCTGACCGGACGATTAGACCCACCGCCGCGCTACCGACCGAGAGCAGAGATCGGTGGTGGTCGGAGCAAGGTGCTGCTATAGCAAAGAAGCGGCGTGGCTCTGGGGCGTCGGGAGTGACCGAGGTTCTTGTTCGGCTACAGGAGGAAGTAGAGGCTGCCGAAGCTATGCAATGCGGACGGATACCCAAAGGCCTGAGGTACGCATAAGCATTAAGCAAAGGACCCACCATCAACTGACTCGATGCGGTGGCAGCAACGACAACAGTACCATTCTCTCATATTATACATGTACGGCGATATATCGTTGTAGTGAAGCTGATAGGGTTCGACTAGCTTAGGCTTATCAATAGGACACATTTTCGACACTCGCCATCGCGATTATCCTAGGAATGTCGCACGTTGGCATTCCGTGTCTACGCCAAAAAATTAACTCTCTTGAACCCTAACATATGATGGCTGAATATTATTTTCACGAGTTTTACGTGTTGGAGTTTAAAAATATTGAATCTTACATTAACGGTATACAGATTACAGGAGCGCTAATTTCGGTTCGATTAGAAACTGTCACACACTGAATGACCAAAAATCCATATATAATAACAAAATAGTGAATGACTAAAGTGGTTCAGCTTTTCAAAGGGACTGGCCGTGACAGTGGCATCCTGGCATATTACACGTCTACTACGCCTGTGATACTAAATACGAGCAAGCACATGAAGCATCGATATGAACTGAGTAGTATTTAGCTTAGTTATGCGTTGAGTTGTCATTGCTAAACGCAGAACTCAAGCTGCTTTAGCGTCAATGGTGCTCAGCTAAATGCATCTACTGGCTTTGATATTCCAAACTCGCGCGATTCCCCAGGGTTAAACCCTACTGCGGAGCACCCTCAGATTCAGCTGAGGCTGTATGACTAAAGAACGTTTGCGAAGAAACAGCTGCCACTGCTGCCCGAGTCATCGCAACAAATTTAAATAGCGCTAACGATCGGGCAACGCGCATCAGCGACTCCAAATATTAGTTGATCTTTCTGGTAAACAGGATAGATCAGCGTCCGTAGCAGGACGTACGGCTGTTCTCGTGGAGGTCAAGAGGATGAGACAACGAAATATGTTACATCAAAATTTTGCTTCTCAGCAACAGGCCACTCGCAGATTTACAGACAGTGAGAGATGTGGGCAGGCGAGCGAATCGAGAGGAATTCTTATTCCGTATGTGCGTCTCAATAGAAAGTACTGTGCTGCTTAGTCTGTCATATCTAAGGTTTGCCGTCGTCATTCGGTTTAAGCGTGTGTGGCCGTTTGGCCGCCGTGCTTCCTCTATCTATCCAAGCTCGCGGCTTCTGATCAGAGGAAACCGCTTTCCGTAAAAGCTCGTCATTCGCTGTCGTGCTGCCCGTGGCCTGTTCTAATAATAGCGACCGTCAGGTTGGTCCTGTTCCCGTATTCGGGCTGCTGGCGTGATTCGGCACGCGTTTCGATGACGACGATGGCGACGACGACGGGTAGGATGAAAGAGCGACAGCGGCAACGGCTAGGTGGCGGCAACATCAACACCAGCAGCAACATCAGCAGGACAGGCTGTGCGCGAACGCTTGCGGGCATTTGCGGTTGCGTCGTGATGAGCGGGTTGCAGGAAGAAGGGGAGACACAAGGAAACAGTAACCGAGCGAGCAAATGAGTGTGTCGCCGCAGTGGTAGTAGTGGGCTTTCAGGCGGTGGCGGCCCGTAGGGGACATAGAACATGTAGATTAACGGAGATGACTGTTCGTTGTTTCTGTCGCCACGCGTAAAGGTAGATACATTGGCGTGGTGCAAGGCGTCCCAGTCCCCGGTCGAACGAGCCGGTGCGGGTCCATTCTCGCTACGCAGACAGAGATTTGCCGAGCAACGGGCCAAGCGAGCAATCGAGCAACCGCACGGCATCAAATCTAGCGGGCAGGAAGGCCTGCCGCCGCGTCGCAGTAAACCAAAACGCGAATATCGTTTGATCGTAGTTGCCTGTTGTTGTTACTACTGTCGAAACGGTAGTGTTCAGCTACGGATGACATACGCTGGCGCCGGCTAGGTTGGGTTAGTCATTGACGCAGACCATCCAGGCGACGGTAGTGGCACGCTGCCGAGGCAAAGACAACCTAAACCGAAAAGACGACAACGGCTGAACTGGACTCAAGCGCTCGAAGAGAGGCCTCAGTCGCGGCAACACCACCACCATCGCTGTTTCTTCTCTAGCTTTCTTGTCCTTCTTTCTACCTAACCCCCTCCCCTCCCCCAGGCCGTCTTCTTTTTCCTCTTCTACTCTTTTTTCAGCCGGCCGAAAGCAAAGACGGTAATAGCACCATAAGAAGCATGGCCAATGGCGTGTCCGCGGTAGTAGGGCCTTTCGCACAAACGAACGAACATCTTTCCGCGGCGTCATCGTCTCCGTCGGTCGTCGTCCCCTCCGTCTTCCCGTCCTCGGAGTCGCTAGTTGTTCATCTGGCAAATAAAAGCAGCAACAACGGCAGAGTAGCGAACAACGGGCGATAGCGTGCCTCTGGCACGTCTGCTGTTGCTGCTGCAGTGATTGGGACTCGCTGCTTCCAGGGTCCGGGCCCGTCGCCTCCACGCTACTGGTCGCTAACGCTCTTCGGGGAACGGGAGCCGCCGCTGGAAAAGCGCCACGGTTCGCCTTGACTGTGGCTGCTGGTGGCGCCGCCGTTGCCGTTGCTGTTAGCTTTCTTTGCTTACTGTTGCTACTGATGTTGCTGCGATTGTCGCTATGGTTCTTCTTGAGGGTTGTGCTCTTTCGATTTCGACTCAGAGGGAGGAGGCCCACGACAGCGTGATGCGGGGATGTGGCTGCCGGCGACCGGAGGCCGAGAGACGCAGCAGCAATACACTGAGGAGGAGGCGTTGTCGTCGTCTTTGAAACTGAACAAGCGGCGTTTTGTCGTTTGCTGTCTTAGCTGTTACCTCGTTGTCTGGTGGCCCTATGCGCCCAATGGGCACGGCCTCGATATTGCAGGCTAATACGACGCCCGGTCGGAAGGTGTTCAGCAACAGTGATAGCAGAAGGCAAGCGCCGCCGGCTGCGGTCGCTACGGCCGCCAGGATGGCAGGCCGACGGCCCGCCGCCACCGGCGGTTAGCCAAGCTCAGCAAGAACCATAGCGCTTCGCTGGCGGTGGCGATTGATGCTGCTGCTCGACGCCCTGGAATCTCGAGACGTCGCCAAAGCCCCGATCAGAACGATAGACGGCGGCAATCGCTGCCGCTTTAACGCTTTCTGACTCACTTACATTGGTCGTCGCCAGTTGGTTTGCTTTTGGCGACAACGCCACGATGCCATCTAAGGGGCAGCTGGCCGTTGCCGTTCGCAGTAGTTTGTTTACTCATCGCCATTCTTAGACGAGTCAGGCTAGTCGAACGATTCAGGTAAAAAACCAAAACGTTTTCAGTGGAAGCGTTGTAACATGGTAAGAGCACGCTAGCGAGTAAATGAAAAGAAAAAGAATTACCATAAAGTAATCGTTTAGGTGTAGCGCCAAATTAGTAGTCCATTGATATAATCTTCCTAATATAGTATATTTGTTTGATTTCAGATCATTCCGGGTTTGGCGAAACAGTTTGGACTCGCATTTCAAGGCCTTCCTACCATGGATACGAAATCCACTAGAAAAAGCGACAAACTCAAAATGGACTCTTCATTCAATTCGACCCTCAACAACTCTTTATCCCTTATTCCTCTCAATGACGGAAATCAAAGCCCTTTACAGTTGACCAAAGACAAGGAATACGTCGGAAACCCTGAAAAGTATTACTCGGTAGAAGACTTCATTGAGCTAGTTAAAGCTACACCTTATTTATACGATAAATACCACCGCCTCTATCGGGACAGCCACATCAAGGATGTCCGGTAAGTTAAATTATTATTGGTATATTTAGGTAAGGCTTGAGTGCCTTCCCTTATATTTCTTACACGTGAATATAATAAAATGTTCAATAATGCACTAAAGATGAAACAAACGTATGAGCAAAAAGTTGGTATTAATTTTTTAAACTTTATATGCAGATGGGCTGAGATCGGAAGCCGATACGCTATGACAGGGCCACAGATGGTCAAGAAATGGACTCATATCCGTGATCGTTACAAGCGTATTCTTAACGAAGTGATGGTGAAGCAAGCAAGAGGCGAACATTTCCAGCCATCCTGGAAGTTTTTTGATGTCTTACACGGGATGCTCTGCAAAAACTACTCTTCAACCAATATTCCAGTAACCCCAACCCAGAAGAATACCCAAGCTGGTGCAGGCGCAGTCTCGCCAGGTTCTATTTCGCCAATAACAACCATCAATTTTGCCAATGCCGCCCAGCTCTATTCCGCCGCCCTTCAGCAGGCCGCCATGAACCAGAGCCTTAACTCGACACAGGGCCTCGAACCGGGTTCGGATAAGGACGAGATCATAGCGGCCGACTTCATGGTGACGGAAACACACTTCGAGGACGATCAGGATCACGATGAAGATCATGATGACAAAGAGCTGGATGGTGAGCACGATAAGGAGATGGATGATGCCGCTTCCTCATCGTCTGGCAATGACGCCCAATCGCATCACTCACTTACCTCCCACAAGGAAAATGCCGCTCCACCGCCGCCTGCACCAAAAAGAACCGATTCAGGTGATGCACCTCCGCCGAAAAAGAGGAAGTAAGTGCTCGTTTTTTGATCATTTTTTTATTTCTCTTCACTGCTTCTTGCTCTTACAATTTATTTAGCCGTATATTGTGTAACACATCGTTCCTTGCGTGAACGCTCTACCGACATCAACTAATTAGTGTTATTGGGTACTAATTATATGCGTGTTCGTTTTGTTGTAGGAACAGTGCCTCAGCCTCAGAACATGACAGTGGCTGCGAAACTAACAAGGATGACAATAAAGATTTCATCGAACACTTTGTCAATTACATTGGCGGACGTATCCGGACTCACGATAAGGTCCAACAGTTATATGTTGTCAACAAAATTCACCAAGCGCTGTTTGACTTTGAAATGGAACTCGTCTCGAAACGGTCCGGTGCAACTGAAAAAGAAATGAAAGAGCTCCGTGAAATGCAGTCCCAAGCAAAAGAACAGAAAGAGGCAAAGCAGAAAGCTGATACAAAAAAAAGCGACGCCTCGGAAGAAAAAGAATCTGAGAGGGACGAACTTCGGTCGGAGAAGGATAATGAAGACACTGAAGAAGAGACCGAGTAATCAACGAAATACATTCGACTTTCGAATTCTGTAAGGTATAACAAGTCGAGTGATGTGGCGTTGATTCGGTAAGCGTGCCGCTTGAAATTGTTAATTGGCAAATAAGCTATGCCAAGGAAATTCGATATGGGTGGATAATGATTTTGATGACGGCGGCGCCGTTGATGGGTTCAACAACGCCCCACATAACTCAACGTCGTAAGCTCTACACTACCACTGTACATATCACTTATCTGGTAATCATCCGGTGACGATGAGAACCAGTTGCCATCTTTCAGTTGAGTGCCATCAAATACTCATAAAATGCTTTTAGGTTCTTTAGCGCTAGGTCACATTTTGCAGATCTGAGCCGTAGCAAAATAGCATATCTGGTTCTTTTAAACCGGATTTCCCGCTACATAACCAAACTGCGACGGGACAGAGCGAACAGAATAATAACATTGTGTATGAATATTATGTTTTGTGATACGAAGTCGCCATTGTGCGGGTACGACAAATACTCGTTTTCGGCTAAGATCTGAGTCTGAAGGAGAAGTGTATACTGAGAAATAATGGAAATAGGGAATGACAATTATTTTATTTCTTCATATTACAATTTGTGGATATTAACGATAATCGCACTAATAATTATTATGTATGACGAGGGATGTTAGAAGATTGACCAAAAGAGACGATTATGTTCTAATAGCTCTCAGCCATTAATTAATTGTCGTTGTGAAGGATGCACGAATCTCATTCAAGCGCAAATTAATGCTTGCATAAATATATCATCGATTAAAGACCGTATTGTGTACAGGAACATATACTAAAGCTTACAGAAAGATTAACACGAATCACAAGCAACACCCATAAGTTCATGCAGTACACAACTAAGCAAACACACGAAATGCGGTCGTATACATTGATTATGTAGTATATGCAAAATATATATATATTACTTTTTGTAATCTAGGTAAAGCAAAACGTCTGCATTGTGTACTTGGACGGTAAGCCAACACCACGCCTGCATTTGCCATAAATAGAATAGTTGGGCATATGAAATATTTAATATGATGAGATATACAATTCACTAGTGAAAATAATACTTTACTGAAAAAAAAACGAGAGAAAAGGACTGCAAACGATATCCACCAGACAAATTTATAGGCAAAGAAATTCTGAAAGGCAGCGATGTTCGTGTGTGGCCATAACATATAGGGTTAAAAAAATAAGGAGGTTCATAAATGTGTGGGACGTATGAAAGTAAGTGAAACAGTAAGCTGTCTTAAGAAAACCGTGTCCTACTATACCAAAGTACAAATGTGTAAATATAATAGTAAAAATCAGTAGAAAAATGCACACGGTAGGCCGACGTAAAAACCGTAATGAAGTAGCTATATCCGATGATAAATTAATACTGTGAAATCAATGTGAGATGAAAGTCGGAATAAGCGACACGCCATATATGCCGTAAAAATGTGTCGCTTTGAAATTAAGGCAAGTTCGTCATAAACGAACACGAAGTAAATCGAAGTGAATGTTCGCTATCAATAAAAAATATAATCGACACTTTATTTATTGATGAAATACGACCCGTTATTCTTATTAGTGATGACAGTTCCTGAAAGATCTACTTATTATAAATGCAGTTCATAGAGGGTAGTAAGGCTCATATATATAGCGTATTTTTTCATGTTACTTTTACTTACAATTGATAATAAAGTGCCGCGTTCGCGTGATTAGTAAAAAGGAAGCTTACAAGAATTAGGTGTTCAGTTTAGTCCGAGTTCACATTTCGATCCTCTTCCGAATTAAATAGATTCATTACCACCAGAACAAAGGAAGGTAGCAATTTTGGTATGAGATTGCCTATGTTTCAAGTTAATCTCTGGTAAGTTGCTTACCTTCCCATAGATGCTCCTTCCGGCTATATTATGTCCGACTTTTAGCAGATTATTTTCATATGTACGTGCATAAATTTCTAGATCGAAAAAGGTCTAGAAAAAAGAATTACCGACAACATTCCACACTATTTTGTTTGAGTTAAAAGTAAACCCTGGATAACTATATTTTAGAAAAAAACGGTACTTGGAATATCCCTCTGTCTTTTCTCATTTCCATCTATTTATATTTTTATTAATTGATAATATTTAAGTTACTACTTCATTGTATGAAGAAACGTCTCTCACGGACGCAGTTATGGATTGAGGAAAATCAATTAGAAATAAAAAAGCTTTGTTTTCGATTCCCGAATATATTTCTAATTAGAATTATGATTGAAGCGACACTGGTAAATCTCAGTTTTCTAAAATTTTGAAAAAAAAATCATACAAAATTCAGTATATTGATTACCTTTTGAGCTCACAGTAGGTCAAAAGTTCCAAAAATCTAAAAAGGCCAAAACAAAGGAGTCCGCAAGGTACAAGGAGGCATGAGGGATCAAGAAATCCGACTATTACAGCGTATATGCACACTATAGCTGATATAAATAAATCTCTCGTTTGTGCATAAGAACTCCTAAGATGGTCATAAATGACTCTTTCTTGTGATCATTTCTTTTGCTCCTATTGCGCATCTTCTTGTCTTGCGTCTTGGCACACAAAATTCTGTTTCAAACCCTTCGGAAGCCATTTAATGACCGATAACGGTACAAGACAGTCAATTTTTTAGAAGTTTATACCTTGATAAGAGTTTGCTCGCACGTAGAGGATAAAAATAGTTGACCTTAGCTCATATTCGAAAAAAGTCCCGTCTTTATGATGACTAGTGTATGATTACGGTTTTCTTTTCTCACAAGATCTTCTCACAAGAAAAACAATATAATGAACCCACGCAGACCAGGGTAAACAAATACACGGGTAACATTATTGCGGATTTAAGGCCAATTTCTTGTGTCTTGAATAATTATTTGTAATATATGTATATATATATATAGGTTTGAACACGCAATGTATCGAATGACTAACCATAGTTGTTCTCTTATAATTAAATATATAAATGAAAAATGGTACTTTAGCTATATTTTTTTAACAAATCTGGCTACCGGGGAATCAATGTAAGTCGTAACGTACCAGATACGGTTCTTCGCCTATTACGGTTTGTGATTTTGGAAGCATACTGAAGTTCGTTTAGCTTTTTTGTGGTCAGATTAAGTACAACGAGTATAATGTAAAACGCTGTGAACAATTTTTGCAACCACAATATTATTTTATAGCAATAGCAAAGATAACTCCAACGTACTCTTCGTTCCCCATTCTTATTGACAATCAATTTTCAACAACACAATGTACAGGTGAGCTTCTTCTTGTCCCATTGTAACAACCAGGATGTTAAAAATTGATCAAGAGTAATTAAGAACGAAGGATGAATTACGAGTTGTTATCTTACTACGATTATGAAGTAATATCGAAGTTGCAAAAGCAACAACGATTTGCATGAATCCATTGCACTCATCGTGAATTCAACAAAGCTAAACGAATTTCGTCTGCATGTAATAATGGCAAACCCTAGTAGGTGGAGAAGCGCATCCAGTACGGTACGACTTGCCTTGATCTCCCGGTAGCCAGATTTGTTAAAATATTATATCTGAAATAACGTCTTTCATTTATGTAATTATAAGAGAACAGCTATAGTTAGTACCTAAATAACATTAGCTTGCGACATAAAACGCCTTCATTGTTGAATATTACTAATGATTTACTCTATATATGTATTTTTTATTTGAATGTATATGTATATTTACTATCCTCACTATCCACTATTCCTTTGTCTGATCCTAGTTACTCTATGAGGTCACAATCCACTGTTGAACCCTTAGGGTAAGCCGTAAGCTTCCTTCGGCACCCCTGTCTCGAGATCAAAAGAGGTAAAAGACCTCACAGATGCGTGCATGAGCCACAGATAATGAGCGCAAGCAAGAATCCTAAAAGCTCTGTTATTTCACGTTTGCGAAGCTAATTTACTTTTGCCTATTCTACTTTTATCCATATAACCCTGTATTTATATCTTATATTATACTGTTTTGCTAATAGTTTTGCATATTCCTGCTCTACTTTCCTTTGTATATTATTACTATTATCATGACTATTATTATTATTTGTATATCACCAAGTAGCTTTATCTGCAAAAGTTATGGTCTTCAACGATCGACAGAAAGTAATCGTGTGGCTGATTTGTACTTCTAAAATAAATACTATATGCTTTATACATATACTTGCATGGTTGTCTCTGTCTGGCAAAATAATTTAAAACATTTCCGAAGTTTATTAAGTAGTCATCATAACGGCTTAACGTGCTCATCTGTTCACGTATTTGCGGACCACAATGCTATGATTTGGCTAATCATCTTTTTTATAAATCGCTGACATTCGCGACAATTGTAGTAGAATTAGTGTAAACAATGCCTAATTATTTAAATATTACTTTTTGAAGCTTGCTCAAAATGGGATTGAAACGCGATTTTTAGGAGAGTTTATGACATGTTTAACTCGAAGATTTGTATCTCGATAAAGGCTATCCGTTTGTATCAAAATTATATAAGTCTTGCTTCAGAGCACAAGTCTTAAATGAGAGTATAGGTCTCTTTCTATAATGTACGCTATCCAAAGCGCCGTAAAAAGTTCTAAAAAAGCGAAAAATATTTCTAACTTGACAAGTTACAACTAAGTTAACGATACCAGCATCCTGGGGGAAGTCCATTTATGAATTTCTAGCTATAAAATATTGGAGAACCACGAGATCTTACGTAAATGAAGCTTGAAGATCCTAATGCTATCCTAAGATCCTAGAATCGCATTTCTTTCTGCATCTCTATTATTGCAGATGGCCATCGAAAACTAAATAAAAATAAAATATGTTTGATTGACGACTAGTTTACAAACTCTGCCTTACAATGCAAAAATACTGCAGATATAAGGAGACATTCGGGTAAGCGTGATATTTAGTTCTGAAAATCTGAAAGTTAAGAATAAATTACTTTTGAAATAGTAGCTTTAAGAATGTTGAACGCATCACGATTTTGCGTGTCATCTTTGCGCAAGGGTCATGCTGACCTTCTCTGTCTTGATTCAATTTTAGTATGTGTATTCAAAGATACACAGCAGAGAGACATCGATGCTTTATATACGGAGGTGGTCAAAGGTGACATCGAGCACTGGAAAGATACCACATTAAGAGAGATTTGCCAAGTGATCGGCCTAGGTTCTATTTCGCTGTTCACTTCGGAAAATGAATTACATTGTGGTAGGATCAAGGCTGACTGAAACTGTGCACATTTCTTGCCACTGCTGATCAAGGTATCCAACTATCACTTGAAGCACAAATTTTGTTGTCTTTTCCGTCTGATAAACAGACGATAACAGTTACTGTCAGTCGTTACTCATGCCAGTAACGGCCGTACGACTCAAAACATTTAAAAATCAGTTGCTAAATAAACTAAGAAACGGGTTAAACGCATAAACCCGGGCCGGTCGCGCAACTATGTTTCGCCTTTTAATGACTTTTAATATGGGTGCTGCGTTTCTAGTTACGTACGTGGATGCTTTCTTTAGCGGATTCCATAACGAGGCTACCAGATGAAGGTTAAACTTCAACAACAATTCTTTGCCGTTATATGCATTTTTTGTTGTAGTGAAAAGATGGCTAACCTAGTAACGTTCGGTGAAAATCAAAAATTGATTTTCTCTTTATTATCATGTTATGTTGTATAAATATATTCGATATAATAGTAAATCATATGTCAGTGTGACTTTCTTTGCTATCTGTATTAAATCTTAAACATACCACAATCCTCGTTCAGCGACAACTAATCTCATGAAACACAACCTCGTGGTTAAAGGTATGCGAATCCTTATTTTGCAGAGCCAATAATTTTCGAAGTAAATATGTTATAGTTTCACTGAGCAAAATCAAACTGTAAACGATAATTATGTGTCGACGAAAGTAACACACGTGCATTTTTCCTTAGTAATTATATGCTAGACATTACCTATTCATATACCACACATTTCCATTTGGGTCAATAAAGGTGTTATTCAATCCAAGGAATTTGTTTTACACCAGAATCAGCGAGGAAGTACAATTACCGATGGTAATTAGCGCTATTCATTTAACCCGCTCAACATGAAATAATTCAGGACGCAGTATCCTTTTTTAATTATCAATTAATTATTTCCTTATAGTAACCTGTCGATGCAGTGTTTCTACTGTTCGCTCACCGTCCACTCCTTTTTTCTCCCTGCACTTCTCTCTCCCCTTTCTCTTTTACGTGCTTCCATTTCTCTCGTCTTCAATCGAAGCTCGTAGCCTTGACGATGATCTTTTGCTGCCTTCCTTCTCTTTATCCTTCTGCGTCATTGTTGGAAGACGCTTATAAGGGCTAGTTAATTTGTCTATACCTTTGTATTCATCGCACAAGTCAGCGAAGGCGGTTCGCGAAGCGATCATTTAGAACACGAACAGTATTCTGCTTTGCGCCCCCATCTCGCTGTACGTCTTCTCCTCGCCTTCCCGTCTCTACCTCTCTCGGTTTTCGTCGACGTCATCATATTCGGTTGCTGCAATAACAAATCGTATTCGCTTTCCGCATTTGTCGTCTGTTCGTTTCATCTCTATTTTCGTAATCGCGGCTAATTAATTTATGTTGCTACAATCGCTGACTCTTTGAAGTATAGGTGTTGGTATCTTTAGGCAGGCAGTTGCCCCGAGTGCCCATGTTAAACAATTTAGTCGTTTGATTTTACTTGCATTGTGTCAGTCCCGTCTTCCCACTATCCTTTTTTTAGCATGGTTATCGTTAAAGTCAATGTCATTATAATCGCCATATCATTTTGATTCCTTCGACAGAAGTAATCGTCATAATGTTGCTAATCATTGTTATAATCGATATATACATGCAATCACACAACGCGTGCAGTTGCGATAGAGTTGGCTGGCGATGTTCACCGTTATCCCACACACTCGTGCCGAACGTGATCTACAGTTTTGTGAACATCCCCATTTACATTCATATTTTTTTGCTACATTATTTGAAATCGAGGATGTTAAATCACGGTCGAGTTGTTCGGCTCATTAGATCAGAGCGACGTGCATTTTTTACGTAAATGAAATTGACAAGTTAATATCTACATGTAATCGTTTTATGGTGTAGCCATCATACTCAATACCATGTAACATATTCCACACCGGTTGGCGTTCAACCTCGTGATTACTATTTCGACTACCGTAATAGCGTTCGCACGATCATTATTATTTTTCTCATTAGTAATACTCACTGTTAGTTAGGATTTTCTTGTTAAAGTTTTATCTTGTTAAAAAGCTTGCTTAGTATTTTTTTACTCTTTAGGTTACAAACAAACACAAAAATTTGTATGTTCTTTTATTTATGTTAGAGTGAATGCTAACAATTTCAAGACATATCTAGGCACAGGCCTGACTGCCACACACGCTCTCCAAAAAAAAACGCGTTGTAATCATAATTTTCAGTCAAGCTAACTAGAGCCTCCTTCCTACACATGCTTATTTATTTGTTCTGCTCACTCTACTTTCCTTCTTGGGTTCATACTTGTAATTGTTTCGCGTTGATTGCTTGATTGATGATTATGATTTTGCATGGTCGCTTTACTCACCCTAAAATAACACTGAAAACTTATGATACCTAGATAGAATAATATATATCGCTTTTTCGTATTATAATTAACACAACGCTAAGGCCGAGGTTATCCTTTACTCAATATTCTAACAACTTAGCAAACCTCTAATTTATTTTAGTATAGAATTCCCAATCAGCAACTTTTGCGTTACGCCATATAAGGTTACATCGTTTTTATGTTGAACTAAAAGGTCAATAAAATTATTTTGCAATAACGGGGAAGTTATATCTTTGAACCGAAATCTATATTTGGGATAAATAAAACTTATTTGACAATATTAGTATGGAACTAATTTGTAACAACGATGTTCATTCATTCATTCATTCATGGCATAAAAAATGTTTTGTCGATGCTGATCAAAATGTAACCGACAGTTTCTGCAACAAAACTATGTACAAACGATCGATCTGTTAATTAAAATGCTTTTTTCTACTACCTGGTTCATCTTATAATCAGCATGTTCATAACTGACTGGTTTCCCTTCAATGTTTAAAAACGAAGAGCATAGAAGCAGTGTCAAATGGGACTCGGAGAACTCATAAATAACGCCAGTTCAAAGGTTAATTCAGTGATCAGAGATCGAAACAGTAGAAATGAGGTCGGACGGAACACAGACATTAATATCAATAGCCTTTTTCTTTATGTTGCCAGCTGACCACCAAAGCAGCCCTACGTCTGCCAATTGTTCCTTTGATTAATAACTTAAAATAGTATTAAGAAGATTGAATAAGGTACCTAAAGAATTAGTATTACTCTATAATAAATATATTAATAATATGTACGAATCTGCACCAAGTACATGCATTTGTAAACGATGAAAAAACGTGTCACTTACGCAAGTGTAGGTCAAAATGATAAGGATATCGATTATAATGGGAGTAAAGTCGACTACTAGACAACCGAATTAAATCTGCCAATTGCATTACAAATCGGTTGTATTCTATTGTTGTTTGATATTTGTTATTCTAATAGATCAAATAGGAGGATATTTTCAAACATAGCAGGTCCAGTTTACACTTTTTTTTTGCTTAAGTCAACTATCATTAAAACTCATTCAAATCTGTTATCGTCTTTAGAGAGTATTTAAAAATCGAAATTTCTGTTTGCTATATATATATATATGCTGTGACAATGTCACAATCGCTTTGTAGTGATTCCCAAAAAATCCCGCCGATATATTGGAATAGGCTAAGAATAGAGAGCTTGTCTTTTTTTTTTCTGCTTCTATTATTTATTGTTTTGTTGCAGCGTTCTCTCATTAGTGATTTGTTAAACTCAACTCGAAATGTTAATAGCGGATTAGATGGGAGTTATTATCAACATTAGTATTCTTTATTGTGATTGGAGCGGTATTTATTAACTGCTTCAGATAAAATACATAATTAAAAGTCCGACTCTACCATTTAGAAAGGCAGTAACTATTTCAAATCATATCACCGTATTTAATTTGTCACCTAATCGTCATCATGGATCCACCAAGTAACACGTACAGTCAACATCTTGTTATTCAACATGAATGTCATTATACTATTATTATCGGTGTTTGGTTGTATCCGTTTGTGGGCCTGTCTTTCGATATTACAGGTTTTACGTGCGGTTTTAGTTGTGCTAGACAAGCCTATGCGGTATGTGAGAGTTCCTGCCTTTGAAACTTAATCTCGGCTTCATGTTCCACACATTCTCAGCTTCTTTTGCTTCCGTTGCAACATACATTCAACTGGAAGCGGAACTTTTATACTGTTATTGCTTTTCTTTTGATAAGCTTTTGAAGGCAGCCGGCACGAATCAAGTCGAACTTAATCTGCAATCGTTGACATTTTTTTCCCATGCCAATTACCAATTCTCATTTACATACTAATGTAATACATTCAAACCAGACGACCCCAATTCTTCCCGGCCCGATTGCCGCTGTATAACGCAACACGACTTTCGCCGCCATTTCAGAAGTAGAGGAAAAGCTGTTGTCTAGTATTTTTGCATATGTGATTTTACCGATGTTCGTCTGTTTGTATTAAGCAGTTAGTACCAGTCTTGAATGAAGTTGCTATCTTTAGAATTAAAAGCGAAAGCCATTGTGACGTTTTTTTATGTCTTTCACTATGTCCATCCTGTAATCCTATCTAATTTGTTGGCATTGCATCAATATATCGAACAATCGTTTCATACCGCTCCGCGTATAATATACCTCCTATTATCTGTTATTTGTTTCACGCTCTTTTTGAAATGTTGCGCGTGCAGCTGCATATTTACGAAGCAGCCGCGAGATACACATACATTGGAGATATAAGCCATTATTCACCGTAGATGTCATATAACTGCTAAGGTCATCGTAAGAGATGCTTCCAACCACCATTTCTCTTACACGTTCTAGAAGCAGGATGCGACTCGGTTTAAATCGTGTATTTGCATACATCACCGGTCTGGTGTAATTTTGTTCAAAGAACTTCGGACCAACGACTGGTGGGCGTATCTGCGAAGTATTAAATCCATGATTACCTTAATGAACCCCTCAAAATGAACTTTAATATTTAGTTTGTTGTTGTTGGACCAGTCCCATTATTTGAAACTACAGTAGATATATTTATGCAAACAGTCTAGAATATTTCATTAAGAGGTTGCGCATGTAACTGTTTGTTTATGAAGCAGCCACAGCATGCCCATACACTGACGATATAAACGATTATACTTTTTAGATGGATAATTCACTAAAAGTTAAAAAATAGAAAATAGAAAAGCTTTTGCTGCAAATAATCGATTTAAATTAACAAAAACAATAAGTAAACAATAGTGAATATAATTCATGAACCCGCTGGCTAGCAGCTTATCCATTCATATATGAGTGATAATATTGTTGGTCATGATTGACTAAGTTATTCTGTTACTGAATGAACCGTCGCTTTCACCGCAACAGCAGCAGCGTTTGAAAAATACTAGTAATCATACAAGAGAAAGGTGATAAAGAGAAGCTGAAGGAAGACTAAAAGGGCGCATACTGCATTGCAGTGGGTGGTTTTGTCGTATTGGTATGTCCTGGTGTATTTACGAGACTCGACTGCGTCTTGCGGGTTTAATACCATAGTAATCGAGTTTTCTTACCGATTTACAAAACAAAGGTGGACTTTCTCTGATAATGATGGAAAACATAGGATGTTAGGGAGGTCTTTCCCGTACTGAAGCCATTCTAGTAGATAGTATTCAACGGGCATGTTTGATTTGGTAGAATGTTTGCGGATAACTTTTGCCATCAGTACGATGAAGTTATTTATTCAGACATACTTATGTAAATCTTACGTATGCTACGCAGGCAGAAAGGCTTGTTTCTCAACAGCTTGTAGTATCAGTTATTTCATGGTCAGAAATTGGTGAAATGGTATTCAAAATAAATTAAGACGAGACAATTCAATAAAAGGGGCGCAAAGATTTATTGGTTTCTTAACCTTTCATCTCTGGTAATAGATCGTCAGATTTTGTGGACATTTTCTAAGAACCCCACAGGTTATGTGTAAAAAAATTCCTTATTTTAGGTAGATCGGCAAGTATTTACCGGACAAAACATCATACATGCTAACCTTATACAACCCATCTACCCCTAACTATATATAAAGGACACTAATTCAATTGCCAATTATTATCTCCGCCATATGATTACTTTGTTCTGCTTGTGTATTAGTCCTTCTAGGCAGCCTGGTGCCTTGGTAATTAAATAGAAAAAGAGTAGTCACAATAAACAATACACCACCGCCTGCGTCAAAACGACAATAACTTTGTGTGACATTGTAATGTTTTAATATCCATCGAATTGTTCCACAGATATGCTGCGCTTACGTCTTGATCATCTGATCCAATCGGTGTTTTTGTAAGTGTATTATTGTTACCATCATTATTAATATTGTTATGTGTGTTACTATTAAATACTATACTTCTCTGGCAAATGACAGTAACCCCCGGGTGAGAACCGACAGAACCCGGTGCGCGCAAGAGTAATTTCGACGAGCCTTTCTTGAACCCACTAGGTATCCCGCAACGCTGCTAATCGACCCCTAAGCTTTCGTTGCGACTAAGCGAGCAGATAGCCAGTCCATTTTCATCATTATTAATCATTTATTCATTCATTCATTGTATGTTGGGCACGCAACTACACCACGCATGGTTGAACAGGAGCAACAACAGAAACCTTATCCTTATCATGCACTTTATCTTCATGATGCACGCAGCACAAACACGTAAGCATAATCATTTGTCCATGATTTTGCCGCGGTGGCTTGGTATGCATCATTAGCTCGATCATGGTGTTATTGTTGTTATTGTTATTATTTTGATTTTTACTAATGTTATTGTTATTATTATTTGTTGTTGGTGCCACTGTTGTTGTTGTCACTTTCACTTTCACATTTTATAGTTGTAATTTAGAATGCTGCTGCTTAATTGTCGTTTCCACAACGTTACGCAAGATGGCTGGCCAATGTTTCGCTCATCACTTTTTTCCGCCTTTTCTCGATGTAATCGTTGTAGACTTTGTTTTGCCGGAACTAGACGCATGAATTAATTTTTCATCATTGTACTGTTGTACGTGTCGCAAAATGGTTCCTTTTTATCTCCCCCTTCCCTCTTATCTTGATTTGATGTTGGCCTAGATGACCGCTGAAATATCAGAGGCGACGTTACTGTCTATAATATATATATATATATTTAACTGGTTAGCATCAACACCCGTGTCTGTCTAGTCGAGCTACCTTTTTGTGTGGTCGGATGATTGACCGGTGAAGATCCAGAATAAAATAAAGGAGAAACAGGCTGATTATCAACTATTACTTCTAGAGGTGACTCAATTCATGGAGAGCTGGTTAAGTATTGTATTTATTACTGTCTCTACAATGTTGTAATTTCGGAGTCATTTTTTTGTTATGAAAGGTAAATTCTGTAGAATTCTTATTTTTGTCTTTATTATTATTTTTATTTAAACTGAAGGGGCCTGTGCGTAGTACCGGCTTGCGTGTAATTGTGCCTGATGTTATCAACATGGTCAATCTGCCCGTCCTCTTAGGGCGTGTCGGCCCTAATGGCCTACGTGTGAAAGTCCCATAAGCAATGCACTATTCGACTGCAACTACCTATCAATCCTTCGTATACACGCACATACATAATATTATCATTACGAATCGACTCATTGATCTATGTATAGATAAATACAGATACACCGTAGAGTGGGATATTATTCACAATTATTATCACTATTATTTTTAACATAATGTGTTTATTATGCGCACGTTCAATAGGATTTTTCAGGTTTCTTTTTGTTTGTTTCGTTCCCGTCTACCTGTTTGGTACTGGCTTTAGTTACTGTTGTTGGTGCCATTATTAAACATATATTGTTGTCATTCGATGCCATTCATTTTGGGTAGAATGGATGGTTCAATACAACCGATACTGTTGTTGTTGTTTAACGGTTTGCCTGCTTGGTAGCTAGAGTTGATGCTGGTGGGATGGCGCCTGGTCGGGTCGATAGGGGTCTTTTGGTTCGCTGACTGATGGCAGTTGGTCGATAAGGATCTGGAGTGACCTAGACAGACAGAGATATGAGCGAGTTGTAGTGGGTCATGTTCCTCTTGAGGATCTCTCCACAAGGGCCCAAAACACGTTCAAATCGAGACCTATCCAACTTAACGCATTTTAGAGGACCTCTAGCTACAACTGTGGCCGCCCGCGGCCGATCCAGGAGAAGTGCAATTTCACCTAGAATTTTGAGTAAAAGCCATACAATTACATTTATTCGTATACAGGCAAGTGGTACAAGGAGGGTTAAATTTTAACTGGTAATTAAAAAACCTTCAAACAATTAGATTTGTACCTATATAGGAAGGTGAATCTATAAGTGACATCAAAGTATGCAACTATTTTGTTATTTCGGACAAATTTGTTCCAAAAATACGACAAAGAATAATTGATTGAAACCTGTTTGTTCCCAATGTTTTATAAATAAAACGTTGGGAACGATATCGCTGAAAAAGTGTACCGGAGTGTTCGTTTTTTTTGCCCAAGACAACGACTCTAGCATTAATTTAACGTGGTTCAATAACTTCATTCACCAAGGTACAGACACAAGATGTAGCTCAGATTATATAGATTAACTTGTATATGACGAAAGTAAATCACTGCATACGTACGGTGAACATTACTCACAATGTGAATAGTTATTCAGCGATTGCGGAACCTTGGGCAAACAGGCAAAGAGTAGAATCATTCCAAGTTTTGACGGTGGAAGACGAAAAATTTGTGGCCAGGGACGTTATCATAAATCGATAGGTTAGTGCCCTACGGATGGCTGAATCCAAGTAAGAATAAGAAATGAAATACATATTCTACAAACGATAGCACAAAATGGCCTAGCTATCCGCGCAAATGTTTAAGGTTCAGAATTCCGCACAAAAACAAGCGTTAAAACTTTCGTTTGTAGCCATACGTTGACCTTCTTCCAAAAATTAAAGGTGAACGTGCAATGACAGTTTGCCCGATAAGTGCGAAAGACATGTGCGTCGCTTCTTGATAACATTTCACCTATTCGCATAACACTTACACCTCGATTCCTGATAGCTCGCATAACCACAAACGTTTCGTCGCAAACCACAAACCTTGCGCCTGTTCTTTTGTTAGTTTGTTGGAAGTTTTCTTATCTAAACTGCAAACCAACTAGTTACATTTGGAAAGTACATTACGGCAATAATCTATCTCATTCATCATACGGCACCAAAATTAAATTGCCAAAATATTTGTTACACTCTTCACCTTTTTCCCTACCACTCGGATTTACTATACTGAGCGGAACTAGCCAACGCAAGAATTAGCTTACCTATTTATTATGAAACAACTCTGCATATGCATTATATAAAATGGGAGTATTGCGCCATGCTAAGTTGATGTAGGAACCGTCATCTTTGTCGATGAAAGAGTATTTTTAAGCATCGATTGTATAATGAGCACTTACTTAGCGAATGCGCTTTTCATGTTCAATTGCATTATTCAGACCAACTTGTCTGAGATAATAAAAAGTCATAGCCAAATACTTTTAAAAATTATTGTATTTATAATTATTATTCATTGTTTATTTTCGCAAGTGCGCTTATTCCTGCAATACTAACCAAAGTAGTCGGACTTCCCAAGTTGTCCAACCTCCTCTTGCGGTTCTCCAGGTGCTCTTCTCTGCAGGACCTTAGCGTGTCCTTCCTCAATTATGAAGAAATCATCACCGGCTTGACCCTGCTCAACAATAACATCGCCATCTTGGAACTGGACGGGCTCTAATGCGTCGGCGACTGTAAGACGCTCCCATTTGTCCAGCGACTCCAAAATCGAAACCTAAAATATGCAGCACATTGACCATTTACTTTTAAAAATAAGCCTTTGGCTTTGCAACTACTGAAAAAAGTCGCGTTCTTCAGGTTAGTACATAACGTCAAAATGATGAATAACATATCTGAACAAAAGTTGCAAATAACTTGGCGGCTTCGATGTGAGAATCGCAGCAGTCGATAAAAGAAGCGCCATATTCTGCTGCAACCCGTATCACGCTACACAGCCAGTTTCAGTAAAACTTAAAAAATATAGAACAGATGCGTAGTAGCTATTTTCAGATTTTTTTTGTTGAGATTTTGGTTGATCCGTTAGCTATGGAATGAGCGCACATGTTTATTTCACACTAATATGAATTATACAATTTTTACGTAAATGTGTTTTACATGAAAAGAAATAAATTTTTTATTTTTAGTAAGTTTGTATGGTCCACCAACACTCACCATCAGGAGTAAGTTATATATTTATAAATAGTTAACACGTTTTTCTGCCACGTTGAACAATGTAAACACATGGAAACCTTTTTATTAGTGAGAGACGGCAATATTGACCTTTGAAAGAAACTCCTCGTACAGTTTTCTCTTTCGAATGGTAGAACCCATGAGAATACGTCGATAGGTGTCACGATCAATGGCCCATAACTTGACGTCGGTTTTCGCTTTCACCGTGGCAGCACGCGGAGTGCCGTAGATCAGCGCCAATTCACCGAAACTGCCTACGTCAACGATGGACGTCACCAATCGATTGTTCACGTAGATCTAAAGCATGTAAAAAAAGTGCCCGTAAATAAAGACGCGAATCAACCACAGGCGAGACTGGGGGAAAAACGAGACTGATTCGACTACTTTTGCTTACACATTGGTTAGTGTCACCACAGACGCCTATCATCATTAAGATAACCGAATGCCTATACTTGTACATGCAAACAAGAGCCCGTTCGCATTTCTTTTTATAATCTTACCAATTTATATCTACAAATCCTAATGCGTACTTCTCTCATAGAACATTTGTGAAGTGAACATCACACTAATGGCTCGTTAAGTTCAAGTGCGTCGATTTTGACGTCAATCTGGGAGTGACTACATGGTATAAAGCATGCGTAGATAAAAACAGTAGCACCAACAACAACGACAGTATCAGCAGCGCCTACGCACTAACACTGCCAGTTCAATGTTACACATCAATAATGACTGCAGTGCAGTTTTTGTATATTGGGCATCATCATGGTGCCTAGTCCTTACAGTAGCGATTAGCAGCTCATACCGCCAATATGAGTTCATGACACAACTCACAACAGGAAATTCTTGCAGAACAATGAAACCAAGTAAAGTAACTATTCAAGATATGACCAAGCAAGTCATGTAAAAAATTATCAGACATGAACCAGTGACGGCTATTTTGTGCTGCAAAATCCGACATGCATTGAAAATTTAATAGAAGTTTTTATTATATTGTTAAATATGGTCGTTAATATAGGACAAAACAGCTTTCTTCATTGTAGAATAAAGAAAGCTGTTTTGTTCAACAACTGTATGATAACCAACGATAGCGAGCGAAGAATAAAATCAAGTGCTCTATTATGTTACAGATGTAGATACTTACGTCGACGGTTCCCGAATCAATAATATAGAAGTTGTCACCATCGTCTCCTTGTTGAATAATTGTTTCGCCAGCTTTTGCTTCAACGCCGAACATAGCGTCGAAGATATCTGACTTTTCCTTCTCATCTAGATGGCTGAATAGAACGTTTTTCTCGATCGCCTTTGAAAGTGCCGCCATTGTTTTGTAGTCCTTTGGAACCACCTGTAAATAATAAATCGCATTAGGCACATCTCCATTCGTTATATGTCTACAAATAAATACAGGTTCTAATAATGATATAATCTTAATGCAGATCTTACATTTTCACAACGTAATTAATTGGAGTTAAAACTCCACAAATCAGCCATATAAGAAAAATCTTACGAAGAAACATCTGACTGAAATGCAGCGCAACAGCTTAACCCTTTTAAGCCTCACACGCTCGTAGTATGTCGGATGAAGATGTAATGTATTACGAAACAGCCAATTGAAAAGTTGAAAACGGTTTATGCAATCATAGTTTCTTTGACAATTTGTTCGGGTCCAGTAACTGCGTAGATCTTCATTGTAGTAGAAAGTTAGGCCTGTACCACAAGGAAAATCGAAATCAAGTCGAAAATATCTTTTATAAATTCATACTCTTCATAGATCTATTACAATTATTTGTCCAAGTTGACACCTAATACACGGCACACGTTAATCATTCCCCCTTCTAAACTCGAGCGCATTGTATTATCGTGGCCACCTGTTAAGTTTATAACAACCCTGATCGGATTTTCAGTCAGCTTTGAGTGTCTATGCACGGTATGTTACTGAAAATAACTATATGGAGCATAACACTACTAGGACAAACAGATTGTGCTTTGTGTGGGCACAGGTTAAATGATTTGCGCAATATTGTTTTAAAACTCCCGACTGTAAGTCTCACAAAGCTTCTCTGAAACCTTAAGACCTCTGGAAGCAAATAAATAAAATAATAGATCCTCTGTTCGCAACTGTTTTTTTTTAAGCCCTATTGTGATATTCGTTTGTAATATCCAAGAATCATCTGCTTGTCATGGACCTTGGAATCTTCAGCGGGGTCCGAGAGGACTGAACTGATTTGGCTTTTCCGTTTTTCTTCCAAGTCTGGGCAAACAGCTGTCAAAGTTTGGTCTTGTTTTGTTGTAAGCTTTAAAATTTGGAGGCGAAAAACAATTTTCTTGAAAATGTCTCCTTTTAGCTATGTATCCTACCGTGTCCGTAAAATACATGTTTACAGCAAATGTAAAACCTGCACATGTGATGTTCTTCAAACTATAAAATAGAACAGAAAGGGCCCCTAAGGAAAACACCGTTTTTTGCGGTAGCGGATTGTACTTTACCTGCGTTTCTCATAGAGTTTTCTATTGTCAAAACAAGACTTGCAAACAATTAAAGCTACTCAGTAAAGAGGCTACACGTTTTACTACATTATGAGCACACCATGAGAGCACCTGTCAAAAGAGTTGAATGTCCACTTTGTGGGCTTCGTTTCCTAGGCGAGAATAGTCCCATAGAGATCACGTTATTTATTATAGTACTGTTTAAGTACAATTTAGGTTCTATGGTAACGAGATAAATTAGATATGTACACAGCAGTGTTAAAGGCCGGCATAGGATTGAATCTACTCTTGTTCATATTCTACGGTTTTGTGAACTGAATGCCTTTTTTGTGTACCCCACCAAATAGACAACAACCTTCCATTTTGCAACCACTAAAGTAAAATTTTTAGCTCCTGGGCAAGTACAATTGTAAGATGGATAAAGTGCATTGTTAGCTGTATTACAAGCTTACGTATTATATGTATACCCGCACACGATTTGGCGAGAGCAAAAATTCACCTCCACGTAGTTCCTTTGCTTCAAAATGTTGATGTTATTTGGGAACTCATTCCAGAGCAAACTTACAGTAGTAATTACAAAATTTCTCAAGAAAACATAAATTCGCGCACGCTACTTCAAAGATTGTACAACTTGTAATTCCTACCAAAAAATAAATTTTCCACACTTCAACTGCGTAACCGTATAGCGTTGTGAATTCAATTATCCACAATTTTTTTTAACATTTAAGTTGGCCCTTGCTTAGCGATGATCAAATTTTCGATTTTGTGTTATTTTTGTTTGTTAATACACGTATAATAAAAAGAGCATTTACTTTTGTTAGTAGAAGTGTACCATGTTGTGGCGCATAATACATATATACATATCTCTGTATTTCCGAACGAGACAACAGGGAAGAAAGGCAGAAATTTTAATAACTGAAAGTTTCGTTTCGCAGTTACCTTTATTAGCATCGAGTGTAAACAAGGCATGCAGCCTATCGTACATCAACGAAACAAAGATCTTTCGGAATGGCGAGAATTGTGACAAAATCCATGGCAAACTTATCTTATAAACTTACAAACCTGTTTTATAAAATTTGTCCAAAGATTTGCAACAAGAGAAGTTAGATGCAACTACCAATTCGCATGGAAGCTGCAACCGCATCGGTTTTAGTTTCCCAAATAAACAACAACCCAACAAGCGACAGCCTTCCAAGAATAATATCAGCACCGTACGTTTTTGCGAGGTCGCTCAGAAACAAGTTTTTGAGAAGAAGCACCAAAATCTGAACTAGTTCTGACAAGAATTGTTTGCCATGCAGCCAACCCGGTTCGCAACAAATTTTACTATAGCCAGTTGGGCAAGTCCAACCAATGGTCGTGATCCAGCCGTAGCTTCGGTTATTCGACGGCGCGTCGACTAGCTACATCGACTTAGAGACTATAAGTCCTAATCGGCATACACAACATGTTCGCAATCGTTTTACTTGGATCTGCGATTTGCACACACAGCGATAATAGAAACGATCGATACCACTGTCTACCCAACAACAGAATAAATTGAAGTGCGGTGGCAATAGCTTAGGTTTACTAATACTACTAATTCTATTAATACCGCAGTTTCGATTGCTAAAGATGACAAAAATAGATCGAAGAACGCAAATTCAAACGTTCAATAGACAGAACTTTGAAAAAGCAATGCGCGTTACTCAATGAAGAATCCAACAACGCCACAGCTTAACAGAGCAGATGTAAGAACAACAAAAATACATAATAGTAGATACAGTATCGGTACAAACATTGAGGACTGTACCAACCTAAGCACCATCATCATACTGATGGCACCTACTTACACCATTGTACGTAACCGATTTGTGTACATGTTATAGCAAAATGAGTGCGCATTAAACACTGTGTCAAATCTACATACCTAAAATTGTACCTAGCATGGAGGAAATCGGATCCAGATCGAGGTGGTTCTATTTAAAATAACTGTTCAAAAATTAGGTTTGTCCCCTGCTCTATATATCGCTTAAACCACCATTTCGTGTGAAAGTTAATGCTTTTTGCAAAAAGTTATATTGATGAGCAGTTTCAATATCAAACTGTGTTCCTCATAGTTATTTGCAGAGCCATTACAAGGACAGAGTATATAACAGGCCGTGAACCGCTTTGGTTGTCTAACCTGTGTCCTATACGAACCATATTTGCAATATTTTTTTAATTTGTTATGACTATATCTTTTTTCCTTCTTCCTTTCCTTTTACCTTCAAACGCTTTGCACTTTAGGGAAACGCTATATTATTCAAAGTAGCCTTTCGTACCCTAAATGCAGGCAAAATAACGGTCTCATGTCATTTTAGTGTTTGTTCGTGTCAGTGCTCCGACCTCTGCAGCAACATAGCTGCTTTTGCTTTGTCGTCAGCTGACGCTTTCCGACGACACAAGTTTCAAGGTGAGAGCTAGCTCTTTTTAGTGCGTTAGTCAGGACTGGTAATATTCTGGCCTTCAGCGTCAGGACGTTGCTGCTGTTGCCTGCTGTGTTCTAATGCATAATGTAGTATGGAGGAGAGGAACGAAGGCAGGAACCGACCAACTAAAAAACGAATCAGCCACATACTACGCCGATTATTGCTACACAGCAACCAGGCGCCTAAGAGCAGTACCGGCGGCAGTAGCAAACGAGATGGTTTGCCAGCGACCTCTAAAGGGTTATTAACTGCGCCACCTCCCGGCTCGTCTACTAGACGCCGGAACAGCTAAACAGGTGAATGACGCGTCAAAATATTGCTAAATTATTTCCAAATGAGGTCACGCTATGCATTGATACGTTATAGAAGGCTACCGTTGAGATCCGAACTACCAAGTATATCCGGCTGCCATGGGCGCTTTTTGCTCTGACACCTTAAAAAGAAGATTATAGGAAATTGGTACGTTTCACAGTTATCCCCGTTTATTAGAAAACAGTATTTCAGTTTGCCATTCAATCGGTTGCCTTACAAAGAGCTTTTTTTTTTCGCAGAAAACGTTTTAAGGTATATTTATATACGGACGTTGTTTTGTATAAACACTAAAGCATTGTTAATTCTGTTTCATTTACCAAGGAGTGATTTTTTTTGCTTGAAGAGAGCGGTAAATTAGTGAAAAAGAAATGACAAATTAGAATCGGCTAGCTCCATAAGGAATAAGTCGAAAAGTAAGGTTGTTCTCATAAAACAGCATAATAAGTAGGTCGCCTGGGAAATGCTTAGAGAATGCACAGGTATTATACATGAGTATGCCTTCAGAACTTTGTTTTGTGGTTTATAGAATTTCTTTTCATAACATACGGCTTTTATTAATAAAAAGTTACTATAATTGCCTTTCGAAACCTTTCAGCAAATCTCAAGTGTGTAGACGTTGTAACTGGTTCACATAGTATACCTTAAACTCCTATTCGTCAGAACAAAAATTGATATAAAGTAAAATTAAGGTCAGTTGTCTTAGTCGAATATAATAATAGCGTTAATCTGATTAAGATATTTTTCTCACTTTTTTCACGTAATTTGTCGCATCTTCCTCTGAATAGGTTTCGGCAGAAACGGCGCCTCGACGACTCCTCGCTGGGGGTTGTGGCAAAGGTGAAAGAGCCTCTTCTCCAGACTGGTCCCCCGACCCAGACGTGGTCAGGCAACCCTTGCTTTTCATCGCAGTTTCCTAAATCAGAAGCGGAACGAAAGGACGATAACAACAGCAAAAAAAACAGTTTAATACGTTAAATACCATTCTGGTACACATCGTTACCTGCACAAAAAATAATAACTTAGATAATTTACACGTCCTGGAGTGGCGCTTGGTTTTCTTCTGATTGATAAGCAAATATGTTGGAATTATGATTAAAGTATTGCCATCAGTCGTTTCAGCCACTGCCATAAGCACTCATATACCATGTGGATAGACGGCGGTCACTTCTGTATTGACGTACATCTTGTCGAACGAGCTGGGCCAAACGAGCCCTTTGACTATCATCACCTCCATCAGCTACCGCCATGACCATTGCTTCTGCTGCTACTATAACCTGCAAACTGATGCGCCCTACGTCATTGCTGCTTCAGCTAGAGTGAGCGCCGAGTGGCTGACGTCGGGCATCATTGTTACCGCACCATGCTTCCGTCGTTGGCACAGCCGACGCTTGTGCATTAAAGGCAGCACTGCTTTTACTGTTGCAGTGCCTGCCGGCAGTCGACGCCCGTTAGCAGTCAGCCACACACTGGAAATGTACAGATGAACGGGTGGCCTGCAGGGAAACAGGCAGGAACGGCACCTTAACCCGGCCATTCGAAATGACAGAACACCACTGCGCAGGTATCAGTGTGAAGAGACGACAGGTACGCGAATAGATACAGAGGAAGATTTCAGGTACACTGGCTGAGTATGAGGTCACGTCCGACCAGCGAAAGAGATGCCCAAATAACTTAGTCCGATGCCAAAGGTCTACCGCCGTTTGCCATCAACGACAGCATGATAAAGCAGCTTGCCTTCGAAACACTCGTTGCCATGATGCAGAATGTTCTGTTTAAGCTTCTGCGTCTATTCGAATGAATGTGGATCTGGCCAGTGGGGGAGAGACAAGTACTGCGCTCAATTCATTAGTTACGTGCCTGCTCATTCGTCGTCCGTTTAAAAAGGAAGAAAGCCAGGCATCAGACAGGCAGCGAATTATTAATGCTATTATACATATTCTACACGCATTCAGACCACCTGCAGCCACTGCTATTCCGCTTAGAGTAGCAGTAGCGCTGCACAGCATCTGCCTGCATTGTTTGTGTCACAGTAGAACCCAAAATATTCAACCGAACGGGGTGCCGATTAAATCCAAATTTAGATTGAATGCTTCTAGATTCACTTGGTAATGACTGAGTGAACAACGGCACCAGTCAGATCGGTCGGTGAACGCCTGCTCACTCACTGCCGTACCGTCGGACTCACCATTATTACATTGCTACTATGCTGTAAAACGAAAAGAGTACAGCCAGCTTATTGGGTATCTCATTGACGTGACTTTGGAGCATTCAAAAAGGCGCATCGTGTATCTTGCTCTATTAGTGGATTTCCCAGTGCAGAGGGTCAAAGACAGCCTTATTTGCTCATATATTTATACGAGGCTCCGAGTGGCTTAACATACGACTAATAGGCAGAATTACTGTGAGTGCACTTTCAAAGACAGGCGATTAATCAAGAAAGCTGTGCAGTAGCCTTTTGAATGGCATACGCTGCAAGTGCAGCCGCTGCATTTAGGTTGGTTGTCAAAACAACACAAGTGACTGCTAAACAGACAGAAACCTTACGAAGGGACGAAAAGGCTTCATGACAAGACGACGTAGCAAAGATTAAAAGTAGCAATAGTTGATAACGTCTTTCCATATACTGTTGACAGGTGCATAAGATGTTGCCCTCCGAAGCAGTGAACTAGGTATTCGTACATTCTACATCTATTTATGATCAAGGCTATTGTACTTGGGCAACGACCATGTGCTCAAATAAGGCCCCTTCAAGATTTTACTTGGCATTGAAATTCTGAGCACTCAGGATTTCTAAGGTAGAAGTGTAACACAAAATATAATCGTCCTGATCTTTTTTCGATTCTGATTATGAAAGGAAGCTCCTGATCGTCGTACCCAAAAATCGATCAAAAAAAGGGTCGGCAGTTAGTCACTGGCCTAAGCGTGCGTCTCACGGGTTCTAAAAAGGAAAAGCAAAAGTCGATCTAAAATTGAGTCATGGATGCAACTACTTGATTGCAGTATATTAGCTCGTTCGAATCAATGAAGAAAATTCGACCGGAACAGGCTCCTGTTCGAAATAAGTAAGCTTCTTGTTATCAACAGCGGATATCCTCACTCTGGCGTGAACAGCACCATCACCTGCTGCCACTAATGCTATCGTGACCTGATCCGATACTACCTAGCGAATCACCTATGCTCAATTCACGTGGTCGTGTAAATAAAGTCTTTTGTATTTTATATAAATGTGTTCGTCTTGAAATTCGAAATATGTTTTCTGCCTTATCGTATACAAACGTGCAGAGATTGTTAAGCCCAGCAGGTGGTAAACATAGTAACATCGTGAACTGTAAGCGTCATTGAGAGCATGTAACCATTTTCCAGTTACAGTTGTTGCAGCTGCCGTTGGTGCTATGAATCGCGACTTGTTGCAGTAAAAGGAGTCGCAGTGTTCCTCAAGATATCCGGATGAAAAATCTCTCGCCCGCGTCCAAAATAACGTCGTCGGGCCGACTTTGTTTGTGCTACTGCACGCGCCGAGGTCTCGGTATACAAACGCGACAAAACAGGAGGTAGCACAACAAGCGGAATGTCACTAATTGGGACAGACTGGAAGTGACGGCGAGATAATCTGGCTTGCAGTGATCGCGGAATTGGAGACGATCTATTGTATAAGTTGGAACGAACATTTGTTTAACACACGATGATTATAAGTAGAATAACAAATATGTGACGTCACACACACAACATTCACACGCTGCGAACCATCACACTATGTTGAATAATTGAGCAACACAGCAACCAATCAAGAAACTACTTCGAATTGTATGTACGTGTAGCGCGTGGACGACAAGGCATCAAGTTGAGAGCTTAGCGCATCGATAATCCGACATGAAACGCACTGTGATATCGACTATAGCTGGGATTACCAAAGACACCATAACCAGATGAAATGAATTCGCTTTTCGCTAACAGGTCATTGCCGCGCACTGTCTATTCTAATTATTTCAATGGTCAGGTACGAAGATAACTTTGACATCACGAAAATGACAAGCCGGTCACTGCCGATTCAGATATTTAGTGAAACGCATTGGTGCTGCACCGGGACTGGACCGATCAGATTTGGTTAAGCTAGCTCAAGAATGGTGATCGTAATTTGTTTCATAGTGGTGTTATAATGTTACGTATAACACACAGTCAGTCAATAACGTACAGCCATCACGTCCTCGTTGTTGTTGTTATCGTCGTCCGATTTTATTGGCGTGAATTCTTCCTTTCTTCTTGATTTCTTTTTATCCTTTCTGGCGCTGTGTGATGCAGAGTTCCGATACGTGATTGCTGACCCCGTTTACGCAGTTGTAATCTGACTGTTACACATTAATGACATCGATAAATATATCATTATTACTAGTTCGTGGCTTATCGTAGTTGATTAGCTGATTTCACAGTTTTGTTTTCTGTTTGAACGTTATGACTTTTTTTTGTTTGTTTACTGGTCGCAGTTCAGTTTCGTGGTCTACTTCGGCTGTTGCGGGTGCTACTGCTGATTCTAATGCAGTGTGTTTTCGGCCGGTTGTAGGCCCAGGTTGGCACTCAGTACTTAGCTCTCGTTGGTTGTTGTCTTTGGACATAGACAGAGGACCGATCGGGAACGTCGGGCCACAGCCGTGACACAGGCCGGAAAGGGTGCCGTAAAGGGCTGCAAGGGCTAGATGTGTGGCAGCATAGTTGACTGCTGCTGCCGCAGACTATAGGGGTTGGTAGTTCTGCTAGGAGACAGATGAGATGCGGCGGAGAAGATGCTCTGTGCTTGCTGCGTTTGTCCGCAACGATTTTCGGTGGAGAGATGCCACAGCAGCGAACCCAAACCGAAATGCCAAACTACATTAATTCTTAGTTAAGAGGGCACGCCCGTCACCGTATACTGTTTGCTAGTCTTTCAGCCATTCAACCGTTAGAAGCTAGACGACGATCAATGACACTGTCGTGGCAGTGGCTTGGTGGCGGTTGTGCCACCGTTGTTGTTGCTGTTATCCCGACGCGCACCGCCCTGGTGGGTCACCAGTTGACCCAGCCATTGCTTGCGCTTAACAACGACGACAAGGGGACTGGCGGCCTAGTGACGGGCTGGTATAAACGCCAAATGGGCAAAAGCGATGGCAAAGTTGCTTTTTCGCGCCGGTGTACACACCAAGCAGATAGGAACACCAAGTTAAGGCTGGTTGACGTTCTTCGTCGAGCAAGGCGATGAAGGGCGACACAGAGGGGGAATCAGTAGCTTCTCGCTCTCTTCGGTGGATGCAGCATAGCATAGGTTACAGCTTGCTATGAGACTTAAGCTCTGTTGTTAAGAGAATCTCCCAGGCGTATCTTCTCTCGGGTTAATGGGTAGCCATGAGCTGAGCGTAAACTGAGAGAAGCACAAAGCCTGTACATGCGACTAAAATAATTTCCTCTAACACACATCACAGGGTGGCGCTCAGAGCTCCTCCCGGTCATCTCTGTAGCTAACGGCCAATCAGCCTACTAGCAACGAGCACCTAACCTCCCAGCAGCTGCTGAGGCACAGATCAGAGCAGACTCCCCCAATAATGTTTTTTTGTAATTGTAGTAGTGGTACACAATTATTCATGGAATGACAAACACGACTCGGAAGTCTTGTACGCAAGTACATTCCATACTCAACGCAATGTGCTAAATGATCACAATATCTCGCAAAATCACGATCGGCGAGAATCATCAACTGTTCATTTTTCTTCTTGATAGCATTGCCGCTAAACTGCATCGGCGACAATAACAGCCAAAACACGAATACACTTTCGATTTATAACCATAGTACAATACATAGGTGGTCAAAGTAACAAAATGGAAATAATTACTATCCACAAGTTTGATACTGAGTAGTGAAAGCTAAGGTTCCGCACAGTGCATTGTTTCCAATCCATATCCTCCTCCCCAGTTGCTATTTGTTTATTGCTGTTATGTACATTAGAGCTTACGTTGAAAGCTCTGATAGGTACTGATAAAGGCAGACGTGGGCCGATGGCTAGTATGTAAGATGAAATAGCGAACATAGTATGCATATATAAGCAATCAGAATCGGTTGAGGTAACTGGCGGTCGATGGTGCTGCTTTTGATGATGATGACGGTAGACGTGCTCGTGCTACCTTCATACGCTGCTGGTTGCCTAATCGTTGTTGTATAATGAGTGTCGTTTCACTGGCATCACTACATCGATTCAGTGCTGTGTGTGATGTGCTTGTGGCAGATGTGGTGGATAATCGGCGCTCAGAACTGCGACGAGAGCGTCAACGGCGGTGACGAAGTCTTCACGATCCTTAACTAGCGTTAATACGTGTAATATAAGTATCTATTTCTTTGAATATTTGTAGGTGTGAGTGTATTCACTGGTATCGGTCATCATATCTAATTCTACTAGTATGATGTGGGTTTATTGTGCGTCGAATTAATTTCTTAAAAATCTTGGCGTTATCATCTTCATCGTAATGATACTCACGTGCAAGCACATCGCTGCGGATTGTTTCGTCCACCCGTCTGCATCCAATTCACTACTCGAGTTTATTCACTTTAATTGGGTCTCACTGGCTGCTGTTAGCAGCTTCCAATCGTGTATGGCTGCTGCTCAGTCTTGCATGGCCGTCGGAGCTGGCAGGAGCAGTGGGGCCGCCATTTTGGAGCTGCTTTGTAGGTCAGAGCGGAACCACACAACGGGCGAGGGAAAAAGGCCCCCCTCACTCATTACAACAGCTTGTTTCCAATAAGCGGACTAGTGGCGCTCGCTGCCGCATAGACACTGACACTAGCAGCATTAGTGTCGCCACTGTACGGCCAACCATTAAACAGCCACTGGAGGGCCCGTCCATCCGTTCGTTCGTTCATTCATTCATGCGTATGTACAACAGAGACGGATGCAGATAGTGCCACGCCGCGTTTCTGCTTTGGCGGCGATGGCGGCAGCGGCAGTGGCCGCTGTCGACGATATCAATGTATAACACTCAACAAGCTCGAGAACCCGGTTGGAAACGGTTGCCTTAACGTAAGCCTTAATGACTACCGGCGACACTCTGAAGAAGTCGCGCACGCCTCCTGCACATTCAGCATTACGCTGTTATTCATTCATCTGTTGCATTTACTTCCTGCTGCCGTCGTTGCTAGCTCCGCCGCCACGGCCGCCATAACGGCTATTGTTCCTAGTGCAGGCACCAACCAACAGGTATAACCAAATAATGGCAACAGCAGCCGATAAGGCAAAGCATTGCATGCGGACCATATCTGCTAGCATTGACGGCTTATTCTAATGATATTACAGCAATTAATGCTATTAAATAATAAGACACCTTGTTTCTATTAAGACGGATGTACGGGATCCGCCTTACCTTTTTGATATAGAAAACAATGAGCAATTTATTCAACTTTGCTATTAAACCTACTTTTGCAAATAAACACTTTCATCTCGACCAGTATTTTTATTGGGAAGTATATTGGAGAACAGACGCTATTTAACAAAATGCAGATTAGTGCTACTAGACACGTATAAGTGAATTTTCAAAGATGCGTTTAGTACAGGAAGCCTCGGCTCCACTTGATGGTATATTGACGTATACGTACCTTATCCAGCTTGGCGAAGTAGTCTCTGAGGAAGACCACAGGGTTACTGGGTCTTTGCACGCACAGCTGTACGATGCACTCTTTGAGCAAGCGTTGTATTTCGTGCTTCTCACAGTACGCCTCGCATGCACGAATCGTGTCTTCGTCAGAACCCTGACCGGCCATCTTCATGTTTCTTCCGGCTAACGCTAACTTCGGCGGCAACCTTTAGCTCTACACAATCCTCAGTTTGCACTACAAGCATCACAGACCCAAAAAGGACATGTCACAAATGCACTACTGCTGTTTAGCAGTTCGCTGCTGAAATACTGCTTATCCGCTCGCTCGCTTGTCCGCCCGCCCGCTTGTCAACATTACCAAACTGGGCGACCACCGCTCAACGTTCGTTCGCTCCACGATGTGACTCCGCTCTACTCCTCTCTGCTTACTCGACGACAATGACGACGAGTAGAGGTACGAGCATTACACGCCGGCAGCAGCAGCGACAAAAACGAGGAAATGCTTACTATGCTCACACTTCCACAGTCGCTTTTTACAAACGGTTGGCACAGCCACCGTCCGTGTGGAACGATGACGACGACGACAGCAGAGGCTATGTGACTGTGGCAGTTTATCAATGCACGATTGTAACTGCGATGGCTGGCGCCCTCACAATAGACACTGCTACGGCAGTAGCCCCAGATTTAGCGGTAGTATCAGAGGCTGCTAGGGCTGCCGATAGTGTTTCGAGAGAAGAGTGTTTCAACAGACGAACAAATAGACTAACACAATGAGACGCGAAAGGATAACTGTCACAACCACGGTTCCAGGCTGCCACCGCGTCAAACGCAACTCAGGTGTTCCCTACTTAGTCAGCTAACCCTGTTCGGTGTTCCTCAGACACTTTGTTAAGCGTGTCCGGGCGCTCGACGCTAGAGGTCTCTACAACGACGTAAATGTCGAGGCGTTTGCTTACTAGTTGTTGATGTTGTTGCAATCGTCAATAGAATAAAGCAGTTGATGAATATCGCCGTTTCTGCTCAAGTGGCTTCACACACGTATGACACGCAATTACCAGTCACACGCACACACAGATCGAATTAGCCCGTCACTCTTTGTCGTTCCTTTTTTTGTCAACTCGTTACTGCTGTCTCCAGCATATATGGAACGCGTGTGCTCAGCTGTTAACCGCACACAGGACAGTTGGCTAGACACTGTTAGTTAGTTTTGGTATTGCTCAATTAGTCTGCAGACAGATTGATTAAAGCGTCAAAACGGGCATAAATGCGACCGAACAATGCTATCCTGCGCTTGTATTCCTGTTCCTTGTTATTGGGGTACGGAATACACCACATCGCTTTAACCACGTCTATCTTTAACCGCAGGACAACTGCTTGTCTGCCTTCCTCCTTTTGCTCTGTTGCCCAGTTGCTACTTGCAGGTGCAGAAACAGCAGTCGCGGCCGTCGGCCATCCTTTGGACACGGTTCTTTCGTTCGTTCGCTCGCCCGCTCGACCGCGCACTCGAACACGGAGGCGCGCGCACACACACATTCTTCCCACCCAGCGAAACAGGCACTGGCTCGTTAGTGGCTCGGTTAGTCGGTCCCTCAGCTTGAGTCTTTGCCTTTGGAATTTGTGTGTATATCCGCCTTGTGTAGTTGGGAGAGTCTGTGTGCTTTTTATATGTGTCATATATGGGCATTTGGTTCTCCCTAAATATCTATTTATGATTCATTCGTTTTTGTCGTGTGTCTATGTGTTTGCGGATGTGCCAAGTGTACGTATCTGCGCCTGCATACTTGTCTGTGTGTATGTGTGTAAGCAGTGGATGTTGGCGTGTGAATGTATGGCTTATCAACTTTATAACGTGCGAGGAGGAAGAAAGTCAGCAAGCAGCGAACTCCGTAGCAGGTATATGTAGATTAACGAAGAGCCAAAGGCAAACCAGCACGTCGGTAGGATAGCCTGCTGCACGCATTTCCTGTGGTCTGTGAGGTCGCGCAAAGGGGAAGGAAACCACGCATGCGTCAGAAGACGACAGCCTTGTCCGCTGCTGCCGCTGTCGCCGTCACTGCCTTTACCATCATGTTCAGGAGTCGACCCCTCACTCCTCCTGCTTAGTTCAAACACGACGTATCCTACAGTCCCCAGGGTCGCAGCCCCCTCGGCTGCGCGGCTTATAAAGTGCACCATCGCCGCTACCTATGGCGCAGCGGTTATCGCCGGAAAGCACGAGTACGGACCCTTCGCCAACACGCGCAGAAAACTCGACCATTTCCTAATTCGTACCTAATTCACCTTACTTTTTTCGCACTGTCCTTAAACCTAGACCCCCTTCCCGCGTCTCTGGCAACAAGCAAGCAACTCTTTAGCCAACGATGGCCCATCGCCATCTTATGGTTGTGGGCCAACACTAGATATTATTGGCCAGCTACCCCAAGCCACAGCCCATTCAGAGTCTAACTTGCCGTTTAGTCTACCACTACAACCACAAGCCTGTCAACCTAATCTTCATTTTAGACTAAGGCAAATCGAGGTTGAAGTTTAGTTTTTCCCAGACTTTATAGAAGATATTAAGATAGAACAAAAACCGCGATGTTCAAATTTCGGTCCTATTTACCGGCTACGTCGTATGTACATATTACGTATATGCATTGTCAGGGGTGCAGTTTTTTTAAGTTTTAATTTTTATACTTGTTGAACTTATAGTAACGGCGATCGCTCTTTTTATTGTTTATATTATTTGCCTTGATCCCGATCAAATACTGACCATCGAACGACTACAGCGATTCTGTAGAGAGTAAGCTGTTTTAAAACAAACTTTATTTACAAAAAATACACTATATTTACACTTATATATATGCAACGACACATTATAATAAATTATTAAAAACGTCAAATATATAATAGAATGATAATAAAAAACACCTCTATAGAAATGAACTGCCAAGGCCCGTTCTTATTTAGTTGGAACTCAGTATGGATCAACCACGTATCGAATTCTTTCATCCAGTGCGTTTTTGTTGTACCACTTCAATGACAAGAGCTCCAAGAAACATCAATATAAACCACCGTCGGAGCCATTGAAGTATAAGAACAAGTTTGTTGTAAAAGTTATTCCATTACAGCGTCGTTTCCGTCTATATAGCCTGTGAATGCCCTCTCAATACTTGACTCAGATTTACTCGATACATTTAACAATAGTCAGCGACGGAAATGGGAAGAAAAAACTATTTGAAAAACAACTGGTTAGCGATCACTTTTTAATTTAGCCAACGATTTAATTAACGAGTAATAACTATAATCCTTTAATTTAACCCATAGAAACCCATTATACTATTTTATATATATATATATATATATATATATATAAAACAGTATAATGGATTTCTATATATATATATGCAGCGTATACTATTAATCAGGAGCTATCAAGGGATTAATTTCTGTGTAAATAAAAACCGCTTCTCTATAGTACATCCTTGCCGAGAAAGTATATTTTAAAATTTCTGAGGCTTAGAGTTCTTAATTAGCTCTGAACAACCTAATGTTATGCAATAGGCTTGAGATTTTAGCGATTTGATGATTACTTTGAGGCGTCAGGAGAGTCCAACAGTGAAGCAGTAGGGTTGACTGACTCTGGAAAATAACACAAAAAGACAACATTTTTTTTTAACTAATTTCTACTATGTATCTATAACAGATCAAAGAATACTTTTTCTTTGTTTTGTATTATTTGATACTGTAGTATAAATAAATTAATGTACAGTCCCGTTTATTCCAAAGATAGAAACGACAACATGATAGCCATTTTTTTTTCAATGAGACTAAAGTAAGCTAACTACTATGGGACAAAGACACTCATTTCGACAAAAAGAAATTCTTGTCTCCCACTTTTTCAACATCGAGCTTTCGCTTAGACATAAGGTGCAAAATTCGAAGATGATTATAAACGAAGTATCCTCAGCTAAGTTTACAAGTTCAATGTGACTCCCTTCCACATTTTTTGGAGCAACATGTTAACAGAATTTTGTGTGAGTAAGAAGGAGTCAAATCTCTCCGAACAAACAGATTTTATAGGCTTCAACTTAAAATGTTTGTTAAAATTAAACCTGACTTAGTTTGTTATATTTATGAAATCCTGAGATAACATTTATTCAAGAGCGATCTTTAAACTTATACCTGAAATTCAGATATAAGGTAATCGCAGTATAAGTTTTTATTTTCTCTAAAACGGTCCAGTTTACATAAGAAGTTTGCAAGAACATTATTGAAAAACTCAGATCATATCTGTCTGTAATGTCAGACACCCGTACTAATTTCAACGTGTTTAATGAGAAGCAGCTAGACGTCTAGATAAATTTCTTCATTCATATTTTTTCAAGTCTTATCCATTATGCGAAGAAAGCGTTTACTTTTTAAAGTTTTTAATGTATTTGTTGAGTTATTTCAGTTTTTCTGATACCAGTCTGGTTTAACCAGCATCACTGAACGCTAGATTTAATAGCCAGAACTACAGTCGATATTTGGCATCATTTCGAAATGTATCTAATATTCTAGAAACTTTGAACGTAGTTGAAGCTATATTCGATAGTTCTTCCGATACTTCAAGTTCAATCGAAATTATGTAATATGTGTAGTATAACACATACTATGCAATTTGTCTCGACAACTAAGAGAATAAGTATAGGAACATGCATCAGTCTATTATTCACAAGTATCGTGTACTCCGTATCTTGAGAAGGTTATGTCATAATCGTTAAGGATGTTAATAATTACTTGAAAAAGTGAGATCACAAAGATCATAAAAAGCAACATTTTAAAAATACCCCAATTTGCCGCAATTAAAAGTGGTGGCGTGACTTTTCCGCTCTACGGTAAAGACCTTGCAAAATTCTAGAACTATTTATTTGCAAATGTAACATTGGTTGTAGACTAAGTCAATTCAAATGTCATTTAGGGTTTAATAAGTAAATGTCTCAAGTTCCTAAGGTCGGCACTGCTCTTAAACATTATTTCAGGCAGTTGGTTCCCAGCACAAAAAATATGTTTATTTCAAGCTTCCATTCAGTAAAAATTCTTATGACTCAGACGACTAGTTTAATCCTACGGACGCTATGTGTTCTGCATACGGTCAAAAAGTGTGTTATTTTTATTTCTCTAGACCTAATAGTCGTAGCGGAATGGTTGAATTACTAACAGGAATGATCGTGACATAATAATGCGGTTACTAGTCCAATTATTTCATTATCTGGCTTATGAAACCCAATGATAGTATGAAAAGCTGCATGTGTAAATATTGTGAAAGTAAACTCTATAGATTATTTCGGCCGATGCAGCCTAATTTGTACGATGAATCAGGTATCGAGATTAAATATCTAGCTTTTTAATGTAAAGTAAAATTTTTAACAACTTCAACAAGTTTTGACATTATATTTATACTTATGACGTATATTGCATTATAAAATACGACCGCTGGAAGCTGGAAGAGCTAACAGAAAGGCTTTATACACTCATAGCAGGTCAGAATCGGAAACAGATTTATTGTATCTAATATATGTGTATATTAGATATAAGAAATATATCCTTTTCACTCGTCCACATTGCCCGTAGGATACCTTTATCTTGCGCCCAATCTTTTCAGATGTGATGTACGTTAGCAGTGACGCGACGCTGCCGTGGTTTGCAGTACATGTACTGTACGATTTGCTTTTCAACACTGCATTCTGGCTTCAATCAAGGTAGAAGCTTCTACGACATATGAGGATGTTGGAGTAAAGCATGCAAGAAGATTGACTTCCCAGGCCGGAGCACCTGTCGAGGAGGTTGTATATTCTGGAACCCGTTTCTATTGGCGAACACCCGGGCATGGGTTTCGGTCTTTAGTTTGGACACGACCGGGCTCTTGGCCTAACCGCGGTCCTGACAGTTCTGGCAAACTTTAACTAGTAGAGTAATTCGAGTGAAGCTGCGCGTAAGGCCTCGCTAATTGTAATACTCATTGTGAGGGCGACCGCCAGAAGCATTGCGGGGACGGAGAAGCCAAGCGACTGCGGAATCTAGTAAGTCTACGATAAGTACGGGAAACTAAGAAAGGTACCGGGAACGTACTTCGTGAGTCGTTTCGTACTCACCAATGAGCACCCCCATTACCGGTGAGTCGAGGATGCAATTGGTTTATGTCGCAAAGAAAACAACAAATGTTAAATTACGTGATTCAGCACTTGTGCAATAGGCAGGCTGGTCCTTCTGATAAAGGAAAACGGTTCTATCCGTGTTTGTGTGAACCACTGCGAACTAAACGCGGTAATAAAGAAAGAAGTCTTTCCATTGCCGCGGACCAATGACGCCCTGGATGAGTTGAAGCAGGCGCAGGTGTTTTCTACCCTGGACTTTATGGATAGCTGTTAGCAGATCCCCGTGGCACAAAGAAGAAACCGCATTTTATGCCTTAAATTGTCTATATTAATTCACGCGGATGCTTTTTTGGTTAGCCAATGCTTCGACGACTGATACGTTATTGGGTAGGCTGAAGTATTAGGGTGCTCCAGTCTCTATCGTTAACATATTCTCTGCGCAGTTTGAATAATATCTACACAATTTTCAAGAGGTACTCTGTTCTCCATGCTACTGATTTACACCTTAAGATGTGAAAGTATTCGTCCTTTGTGGAGAACGACGTGTACCTTGAACACGGGGCTTCCTCACTAAAGGTTGCGGCGGAAGATACGTTAGCGCTTCTACTACTAGTTTGTTACGGAGTTTTCTGGGGGTGACGTCTTACCGCCGGTTAGTACGCGACTTTAGTATACAATTTGTTGAAAGCGGACATCTCTCTCGGTGAACTGCATCTCCCCAGGCAACATTTCAAGCCTTGAAAGGAACCCTGATGAGTGAACCCACCTCGAGCGACGACGGTCCAATGGTGATGATCGTCTAGTTTGACGAGGACTTAGATGGACTTAGAGCGCATGACGGTTTATGTTAATGGGCGTCTCACAATTCAAGAGATGAAGTAGCACCTGTCGAAAACGGAGTGTTTGGCTGTTGTGAGGCCGGAAAGGCAATTCTACCCACACCTCATGCCTCTATGACCGGTTTTGCCGTGTGAGCAGTATTCGTTCTGCCACCAAGATCGTCTGAACTTGACGAAAACTGCTCACTACTTGACGTCTCGTTACGTCTCAAAATGAGAATATAGGCGAAAATCCTGATGCACGTCCGCAGCTGTGGCATTTGTCAGCGGACAAAATCAAGCTGCGGGCGCCGTCTGCCCCAGACACCTGTAGACCCGCCGACCCTTTCGTAAAGATAGGTCTAGTTTAACGGGGCCTCTGCGTGTGCCTGGTAAGGCATCTCTGTTCGTGCTAGTGGGTACAGACTACTGCATCCGTTTTGTTCACCTTTTAGCGGCCTGTGGCACGACAACCCAAACCGTGGTAGAAGCCCTCGACGCCGTCAAGGACCGCTACTGGGCTATGGACGCAGCTGTCAGGACAATGTTAGCTACTTCAAGGCCCTGTGGCAGCGTCTGGTACGCTTCGATATTTTCTGCATAACGACTGCCGTAGCCCATTCGCAAGAAAAAGAACAGGTAGAGAGCGATCCACACGGTCACGGAGCAATTGTTCGCGAAGCGGAGAATTAAGTCATTCATATTCCTTTAAGTCGCAGAGTATCGCGAAATTTGTAGCAAACAAAGCTCGACCATTGAAAACTGGCGACTGATGGGTGGGCGGGAGGACACCGACATCCATAACAGGTCGGAAGCGAAAACACGTTGTAACAATAACATTTGTACGCCTGTTTTAACATTTACACTAA